AAATATATACGCACAAATGACCCTCTAGTCCTGTCGATAAGTGATACGCAGACAGAATCATTAGAACAAGTTAATGTTCGATTAGGATTTACTGGACCACCGAAATTTATTAAAATTATACTATGTATTCACAGATTATTAAATTTGTATTAAATCTTAGTAAAAATTAAAACAAAAAGCGTGCTTCAATTCATATATTATACATATCCTTGATCAGCATAAATATTGTATTTGTTCCATCAGGCCTATTTACGTTTGAAATAATTTTAAGAAAGACGTATTCATCACTGTCAACTTACGTATCGCTTGGGTTTTGCCAAAACATTAGATAAGTTTAGGTTAGTGATATTTGTAAATATATATTTGTAAGTCCTCCTGAGTACATCAGAAGGTTAGGCTCTATATAATATAGTTTAACTGTGTTGTTAAGGTACTATACATGCATTGTACAGATTAAGCGCTTAAAATAAACATAACAAAAAAAAAAAAAAAACCTACGTATGTATATGTAGAGTGTAGTATGTATAATTTCTGTATATATAAATATTACTGATTTTTCTAACCAGACATTAAAAGTGGTTTTAACATCGGAAATTTCGCTACACAAATGAATGCTCACTGAAATATATATAGATTAGGGTCCGGCTGCATTTTAGAAAACCATATCTAAACTAATATTTTAAGGCTATAGACGACAATGAACAAAAAATTGGCTAGCGGAATTAATATTTATAGATTTTATGCCAAGAGCAAATAGATATCTCCTAGGTCTAGTTCGAGGACCAATAGATCTGTGACCAGTGAAACCTACATGCCTAGTCAGGGTGAGAATTTAGTCTCCCGAAATATTTGTTGACCAACTCTTGGAGGTGGGTATTAACAGCATCTTTTAAGCGGTTGAGTTTTAATCCAGTTTTAATGGAACAGTGTAGGGCATTTATTAGTCGTGGACTCCCGACCAGACGAGTCTTGCTAGTCTGTCGAAATATAAATGGACTTTTAACTGTGGCACGTCGGCGCCGTGTCACAATAGAGTCATAACGCCATCAGTCCGACAAAAGCCATAAAAATAGCGGCTTAAATGGCAAACAGCATGTCTGGCATTCCCTTGGAGCGAAGTCCTGTGTGCTGCCGGAGTAGTCGAAGCATCCTTGCAAAAAGAGTCTATTTCACACTTTTTGCAACATCGCTTTTTGCCTGGCTTTAATAAACGAGCAACAATAGCAGCAACAATTTTGTGCTTTTATTGTGCAAATAAAAACACGCGGAAACTACTTAATCAAGTTCCAGATGCAGACCCACATCTATACATACATATGCATATTCATACATACCTTTATGTGTACATATATTTGTGTGTGTGTATATAGATACAGCAAACGATTCTAGACCTTGTCTCCGGCCTTGCGGAAGCGCCGTTTTTATATGCAACAGAAAGCAAAAACAAAGCACAGCAAACTTTGTCGACGCTTTTTCGCTGTTGTGATTAAGAGCGCCAAAAGCAACAACAACAATAAAAGCAAAGAGTCTACATGGGAAAGCCAAAAGCTGAGACAACAAGGAAAAAAGAGGAGCTAAACGATTTGTAAATGCCCTGCAATGCCGCGGAACGTAACTGATGTCACACCCCTTATAAATTACTGTGGAATGAGAACTGAAATTTTATAGTGCTATAGTATAGAATACAATATTACGTGATACTGTATAAAAAAGTCTTATGACATTTAGATTCTTTTCTTACCTTAACTATCTTAAATTAAATTGAAATCCTGTAGGAAGGAAGTTTTCAAATTTTGAGATATCTTAGATAATGCCTACATCTTTATCACATCTGTGAATTAACTCTGTTACAAAAATATATTGAGAGCATTTTTGCAAATTTTTTTTCATAATCCCTTAACTTCTATAATTTGAATAAAAATTCCCTCCACGTACGTATTTCACCCTCTTTAGCATAGTTGCATTGCTTTTCACACGTCTAATACACCCCATTTGGTCATTAATTCAACCGCCGCAGTCGTCCAACGAATGTTTATTTCGAACTAGAGCTCAAATTTATGACAGCAATTAGTGGGCGAAATGGGCGTGGCTGGAAAAGCCCCCAAAGAGCACAAAACTCTTCAATTAATTTGCTGAGCTGCTCAGACAACAGAAAACGCGCACATCAATCAAGACGAGGTCAAGAGTGGAAGAGGTGATGGAGAGTTAGGCTCTAGCCTTGCCTGTGGGTGTGAAAAGTCGACAAACGGCAAGAGGAGGAAAAAGTGGGAGGAGGGTGGGGCTGAGCAACCAGTTTAGGTCGCGTGCCACTTGGGGCGGAAGCTAGTAAATAAACGTCTTATTTTTAATTACCACACTCAAGATGAATTTTAAATGGTCAGCGAATTGGTTATGTATCTATTTACAACCAAGATATATTGTACGTATTTATATTTATATTTGTATATTTATATGTATATATGTATTGTTTGACTGGGGCACTTACCTGTATCGTTTCCGTTGCGGAATATTTCCGATTGTAGTCGACATGATGAAGGTTCGGCATGCTGGCCCGCTGCTGACTGATAATGACTATCGATAAGGATGTTTAACACGTGTCCATGTCCTTGGGGTTGCTCAAAGGCTGTGTGCAGTTAGCATTTCCTCTCGGGTAGTCTGCATCGAGATATGTCACTTTATGATACATTTGTGTTAATTTTTGTTGCCCTCGCAGCGAATGGTTTAATTTGACTGCAAAGTAGAGGCGGAGAGGAAAGTAAATATCAAAATGAATTCGAGCAAAAGTTCAAGTTGAAAAAGTGTAAATTACTTTCACTCCCCCAGTTAACTGCAAATAGCTAACCCCAGGGCTTGTTTACCCATGTCGATATTGTTAATACGCCACGTGTAACACAGCGGGCGCAAAACGAGAGAGGACAGAGCGGGAGGGTATGGGGAGTGAGTCAGCGAAGGGGAAGCATTGGCACGGACGGTTGGGTTTTCCGGATTTATTGCCAAGTTTACGGTACGTGCTTTGACTAAATTTATAAGCCAAATACACACTAACAGAAAAAGCAATATTCCGAGCCAGACAAATCTGCAAAACAATGTTGCTCAGTTGATTAGAATCATTTCCATATTACCAATAACAGAATAGCTCAAATTCTTTTATATGTGACTAATTATTTCAAAATTTTTTATTTTATTTTCCAAAAGTTATATATACCATATAAGCAAAAATTCTTTCCTTTCAGCCTAATCTATTCTGGGAGAATTTCGGTTCTATTGCCATGACTTGCAATGTGCCTCTAGATTTCTTATATTAATGAATTTGATGCCTTTTCAGCTTATTATTTGCTTATCGAAATTTCATATAATGTAGTCAAATTTTTCTGTTAACTGTTGCAGCTTGTGTTTATATAAAAGAAAGTCTTAGATCAACAAAAAATTGTATCTTTTATATAAACAGTCAACGGCCTTTTCCTTAAATTAGTTACTACACAAATATTTCACTGACAGGTCTCAACTGCTATTGCTCATATTGTCATTTGGTTATACAACTATCTGTGCACGTACCAACTGCTAAGGCATTCATCAACATGTTTTAGACGCTTCAACTAATTAGTCAACAATTTAATTCAAGCGATGCTGCCTGCATGTCAACGAGAGAAGACAGATTAATGTAAGACAGAGTAGTGAGAAAGAGAGAGAGAGAGAGAGAGAGAGAGAAATTGGCCTCAAGTAACATAAAACAACGCCTACAAAGAGGGGGAGAGCCTCCTCAATGTTTACCAAGGCTAATTGACTTTTGTAGCTGTCATAAATGTTGACATACATAAAACGCAAGCCACAGAGGCGGCTGCCAACGGCAACCAATAAAAGGCGAGCAACAGCTGCCGCAACGAGCGCAATTTAAAGCGCTTATTACATTTTCCTCGTAGACACTTTGCAAGCAAAATTATTCCGAAGTTTACTACTATTCAAGAAAAATATATTTTCCAGCCGTTCTACAATATAATGCATTCCTTTATTAATAGCCCGGAAACCTAAATTGCCTGGCACTACAAAAAATTCCTTCTAATCGCATTTTATTTTGGAAACCTTGTTGAGGTCAGATTTTAGAAAAATCTGTCTCAGATTTGTCAATTTGTTTTCTGCATAGATTACTGTACAGTTGAGCAATTGCATAGGTCGACAAACCATTCTTCCTGGATATCGATGGAGTATAATAGTATAGAGAGTATATTTTTGTTATAAAAAGTGTTCCATTGTAAATATCGAGTGTGGATTATACGTATGTCACTATATATATTTAAAATATACATACTTTACATGGCTTTACACTTCAAAAAAATATATCAGACAGCGTTGAGTTAAAGGCTTTAGATGACAGTGAACCCAATATTTAAATTTAGTTAAACTATAGTTTAGAATTTACTTACATTCCCTCAATTGAACTTTTATTCCAAAATGCGTTTTATTGCACTCAGTCTAGCTTTGCTGGTATAACTAGACAAAGTAAATATTATTCCTTAATCTCTAATCTTAAACCCCTCTTTAGAGCTTCGTAAGTGCCACATTCTTGCCTGGCAAACTCAAAGGAAATATTGCACAAGCTGCTCAAAATACGAAGAAACTCATACAAGAGGAAAAGGTAAAATTTTACCTTTCATTAGGCCAATTAATTGTCAGTTCAGATGTTGTGAATAAAGAGGAACTTGAGAAATGGAAAGACTTTATCATCGAGTGGACTCCACAAGCGTCCACTTTAGTAGAAGATTACGCCGCTCTTCAACAGTTTAGCGCACAGAAGGAAATGTTGCTGGATGGCAAAGATGATGACTTACTGAATCAATATACCAACGGTGAATTTCAGAGACTAAAGAACAGTCATATGAATACATGTAACAGACTGTACATTGCTTTCAAGTTTGCGGCTCGCAGCATGATACGTGAATCAACAGACTCCCCCGGACATTCAAATTCTATTGTTCGATATTTCAATGCGTTTGCCAGGTCAAAACCTAATGTTCGTGAACACCACTTTGAAAATTTGTTCAACTTGCTCACCTTAGAAGGCGTTGAGCTAGACGAATGGTTAGCCATTCAAAACATGATGTAAATATGTAGATGCGTGGAAATTACAGTGGTTCAAATTGCTTTGTGATATTTCCTATAAAACGTAAAGAACAAAAAAATCAATGAATTAAAATAGAAATTCTCTATCTAGGGGATGTATTATTATACATCAATACGTTCAATAGTAAGTTATAGTAACTTATTCATGTATCTTTGGTATTCTCCTTGAATATATACTACAAATTAAAGCGAATTTCAAGTCTGTAGCATCAGTAGTTCTCAAAAACACACTATATATTCAGAATTAATTTACACGTCGTCCAGGCGATTCTTAAAAGAAATAAATAAACAAGGAAAAAAAAAAAAAAAACAAGGAAGAAAGCTCTAGTCGAGACTGCTCGACTACGAGATCCCCTGAACCCTTCGAGCAATAGCTGTTTCAGTCATTTTTCGCGCCTTTTTGCTTACACAAGAAACACGCCCACACACACACACACACTCGCATACACACATACACGCATGCACACGCATACCCACACACACACAGACACACTCATACACACACACACACAGACACACTCATACACACACACACAACGCTCATTATATCCAACAACAGGGCCACTTTAAGTACTTGACTGATAGAGCGTAATCTATAAAATCGAAATTAAAGTTGTCACTAAGCAATGCAAATTGTTAACGTATACTATTTATTCACTGTATTTTGCTTGTTTTGTTTTTTTATACATATATGCATACAAAAAATTACTTAATTTATTAATATAGGGTTTTGTATTTTGACTTAATCCAAAGATTTTGGTTCAAAAACAACAAAATGTTTATGTTTTCTTCTTTAGGCCTTGTTCTTCCGTCAGAAACAATTTGACCCGCCTTTCTGAGAAGCCTCTCTGATTCTACAGATGTTGCGGGGATGCATAAATACTTAAATAGCAATGATTTTACAAGTGGGAATTCCGTCTGGGAAGCCTGAAATGAAATTTAATGTAAAAACTGAATTTTTAAGCATTGATAGCAGATGTTCACCTTCATCCATAAAAAAGGATCCATTTTTAGGGGGGCTAAGGGTGTCTCCAGATACTGCCTCTTTATAAAAGATGCATCAAATTTCTCGTTTTTCTGTTTTCTAATGACCGGTTGATACAAGAAATCTAAAAGTGAGTCCTGAGTTTTTGTGTTCGATTCCAAATCCAAGTTAATTGAGGGCTCTCTATTGGTCAGATTCGCCAACTCGTGTTGCAAAAATATTGCAGCTTTTTCAGCATTCGTATTTAGCTGAAACCCATCTTTCTTGAAGCGCGGATCTAATATTGTCGCCACTCTGGTTACTGTCCGTTGCTCGTATGTAGACAAACGCTTTGTTATGGACTTCAATATAGTATTTTTCATTCTTTCTCCTACCGAAGTTTGTAACTGTGATGAAAGATTGTGAACTTTGCGGAAAAGACCATGTGCTAAAGGTATTACTAATGACACATAATTTTCACCAGATATTTTGTCGCTTGCTTCCTGAAAGAGTGACAATATTATATCTATGTCTTTTAATATAATGATTTCGTCAACCGTCAATTGCAGCGGTGCACTAGTTATTGACAATAAAACTGCATTAATGGCTTCCTGAGATGCTAATATGCGCTCTATCATAAAGTGGAAGCTGTTCCATCTTGAATGAGATTCTTCTAATAAAATAGAGGCGAAGTTTTCTTGAACATTTTTAAATTTTTCATTCGTTATGGAACTTTGCTTAAAAAACTTCACTATCGTCTTACACTTTGCAAATAAAGCTTTCATTGCATCGTCTTCGAGTTTTAGCCCATCTTGTACCACCGAATTTAAGGTGTGAGCGAAGCATGGATGATTTTGTATCTTTAATATTTCACATGCTTCTAGCATTGAGCTGGAGTTTTTGGTTACTACACATACAGTTTTATCGAGTATATTCCAAAAATTCAATATATCTTGCAAGGTGTTTGCAATATTTTGAGCAGAGTGATCTGTTGAATCTATTACTTTTTGTCTTGCTAAACATACTGTTTTCAGGCTATAATCAAGAACGAAATGACCTGTGACGCTTAAGGAGCTAACATTAGTGCTTGAAGTCCACAGGTCGCACGTAATCGCTATATCCGGAACGTTCTCCAAAATCACGGCCAGTTTAGCCGATGTTTCTTTAAACAAGTGGAGCATCAACACATCTCTCAAATGTGTGCTACTTGGAAGATTGTATCTAGGTTCCAATACACGAGTGTATTCTATAAAGCCTTCATTTTCAACGATGGTACATGGCAGCATATCCTTGACAACCATCGCAGTTAAAGCTCTATCAATGTCCCTCTTTCGCTTTGATTTTGTGTCATATAATAAAGCTCTTTCCAAACAAGATTCCACAGAACTCATGGATCTACAGGTGCCGCTTGAAGACGCGATCTTGTCGTCGTTGTTGTCATTTTTGTCGTGGTTGTCGTCGTAGTGGTCAGCTTTGTCATCGTTGTCGTCGTTGTCGTCATTGTTGTCATTGGTGTCATTGTTGTCATTGGTGTCCTTGTTGTTATCGTTATCCACTAAAGCTTCTGCAGCGGATGCGCTGGAATCAAGTACAGATATGTTTGAGTGGAATCTTTTCAAGTGGTCACGTATATTAGATGTATTTCCGCTCGTTTTATAAAGTTTACCGCAGCACAGACACTTAGCGAACAGTCTGTCGTCGGACCTCTTAAAATACTTCCAAACCTCTGAGATTCTTTTTTGTTTCTTTGGTGTTGGCTTTTCGACCGTAGAATTCTTATCAGAATCCGTGAAGCTGCTATCCCAAGCCTGCGCCGAATTCAGACGCTTACCTTAAAGAAAACTCAGTTCTGTTAAGATACTTCCCGATTGCGTTATGATTATTACCTTTTAGAAGAAATCTATCCATTAGATTCTGTTGTGTGTATTTAAAGAGTATTAATAATGCGGAAAAATAAATCTCCAATCAATTGCAAATCCGCTTGGCTCTCAGATACAGAAAAACGCAAGAGTGTGTCTCAGTGATGTGCAAGCCGTACTATTGGTGGCACCATCGAACTTTTTAGTAGTGCTTGAAACTATCGATGGCGCTATCGAAAGCAAAATTTCTTGTCACGCATTCGGCCAAGTGGGGGTGTCAGACTATCGATGATGTGTGCAATCGATAGTTGGCGATAGTAAACCAGAAACAATCGGTAGTTGTTGATAGTGGCAAAAAATATTTTCATGAACAAAGCGTGTTTTGCACTTTTATCTATTTCACTTGATCCACAATCAGTGGAAAATTTGTCTGATCAGCCTGCAAGGAAATTTAATAAAGAAATTTAATGCCTGAATAAGAATAACTGCATTTTTCATTTTACCTTAAGCCGCTTGTTGTATATTCCTTTTCACATATGAGGTACTTGGCAAATTTTTTTCGGATAAATTATTTACACATTTTTTGATTTGCTGCAGTATGCAGCTTTGAGTTCGTGATATTTTTATTGCATTTTTAGCGCTGTGCTATGATTAGAATTTTTCACGTGCCGTGTCAAACAAAAAGCGCGCCAAAATGTATTACAGCGATGTGAAAAGCAAGCTATCGATGATACTATCGGTCCATTTGACTATTCGATAGTTCAATACATCGAGAGTGCCTTGACATCGATAGTGACATCGATGGTTTTAACCACTACGGCCGAGATAATCGAGTTGATTTCTCTCTCTTTTTCTCTCTCTTGCTCTCTGCTTTATCAGATGTTTATGTATGTGTGTATGTAGGCACAAACAGTACGATTGCATGGAACTGTGACGTCACAACACCTGCGCAACCTTCTGGGTCTTTTAACAGCGCACAAGCAGCAGCTAACAAAAATTGAATTTGTTCGCTTTAAGATCCCATTTCGGGCCTTCTGCTTGCAGAGGTTTGCAAAGCTAATGCACAATGTTAGCGTTTGCACGATTATTTGGGATATGATTTCGTGACGAGTATACACACACACACACACTTATATTCCCTTGCTACACGTATGAGCATTTATGCGAATCAAAATTATAACTGGACGATCGTCCAGTTGTGGGTGTATAGTTTGCCTATTTGTTTTTAACATTCATTGCTTGTTTTTGCTTGAAGTTAAAGTAACACACATACTTCTTTTGCCAGACCGTTTTTGCCAGCGAGTTGGCTATGTTTCAACCACATACATACATACATAGATCATAAAAGGGAAACTCTTATAAAACGCTCCGTTTTTACATCGTTTTTATCGAGTTGTTTAGTGTGGGGCTAAATTAATGACGCATTTCATCGGCAGCTTTAATAAATTTCAGATGAGTTGCTGCCTCCACAGCCGCACCACTAATTAAGTACAACAATAAGAGGACCAAGAGCCGGAGCCACTTCTCCTGAAAACAACAGTAACACACTTTATGCCCTGCGGGCGGCGGGTGGCAGCGGGAGTAGTCAAGGGAGGTCTTTCTGCTCGCCATATGCTAAAGTCCTACAATTTATGAGCACTCTGTGTATGTGTGTTTGTGTGGCTGTGTGGCATCTCTTGTAAATCTCAACTGGACTGGCCATAAATGAAATGGTCGAATAATTGAGTTAGTGCCGCACTTCGGGCCAATTCCAATTGACCCGCAGCGCTTAAAGTGCTGTTGGACTTATGCAAATGCATACATACGTACGCAGGAAGATATCAATCGCATCGAATTGCAGTTGATTTAAGAGTCCTGCCACGCACTGTGGCAGCAGACAGACGTCCCATGGCATGGCCATGCCACGCTATGTGCCATTTGCCATGTGGCAAGTGCCTAGTGGCAAGTGGCAGTCAACTTGCGGCGTCGGTGGTGGTGGCACAAAAAAGCCAACTGCAACTAAGCAGTCATAAATTATGCAGCGACATTGTCAAAGGACACCAAGAACCAGCCAAGCAGCTATCCAGCCAGCTATACTAACAACAGCAGAAAGCAACAAGGACATGCACTACATGCATTGCCAAGCCATTGCTCCCAGCTGCCTCCATACGGCTCCTACCGCTCTTCTTGCTATATTAACTCCAAATGGCTCAGCAGTTAATAGGAACAAGTGCAACGTTGGGATTGGGGCATATGCAACATGGTAGTCGC